ACTGAACCTCCTCCTCCTTTTAAGCTTTGGTTTTCTCATCTATATAAAGGAAACCATAATAGTACTTACACTCAGAGTTGTATTGTGAGGATTAAATGAGATAATACAGCTAAAAAGCTTATATAGTAGTTGCCACATGCTTGTTATTTTTTAATTTAATTTAATTTTTTTATACAGCAGGTTCTTAATTAGTTATCTGTTTTATACATATTAGTGTATATATGTCAATCCCAATCTCCCAATTCATCCCACCCCCACCCTCACCTGCACCTGGTTTCCCCACTTGGGGAAAAGCTTGTTATCTTTATTGCTATTCTTGTCGTTGTGATTGCTCAAAGTGTTATTTTTTGTTACCGTTGCTATCTTCATCATTATTTGGGGGATGTAGGCAAGGGAAGAAAAGGGATGAGCCCAAGGAGAGGTGGAGAAACCATCATGTTTACTATTTCAAAGACAGTTTAAAACAGAGTGTGAAAGTTTGTATCTTTTCAGAAGAAGAGAATTCAACCCTGGACACTGGCTAGCTCATTCTCAGTATTAGATGCCTTGGCTAATATCAAGGCCCTGAACTACATGATAGATGGTGACTTAGTTCAACCAATCAGTAATTATATATTGAGTATCTGCCACGTGTCCAGTGACTGAGGGGGGAATAGAGAATATAAGGTGCAACCCATTCCCCTGTGGTCCTCAGACCGTTTTAATTAGTTCATTAGTTGACCAGACTGTGATAAAGCTTTCAGGTAAGCCCGAAGACTGAGAACTTGAGGGCAAGCAGGTCTTATGTGGTATTGGGATTGTGAGAAGCACTCTATTGAAACAGAGACATTCATACATAAATTTGAGCTATACATCCTCTCTTCAGTGACTGCTGTGGAAAGGTGTCCTTTGGAAAGAGACACAGAAGGATGCTTGGCTACTTCAGTTTGCTTTAGTTTGCTTTTTTCATCCTTTTCCTATCCTAATATACCACTGATCATCCCTAAAAGTCCTAGAATACTTTGGAGTGACCTACTAATCCCCAGAATTTGCTAGATGTTTATACAGACCATCTGGAAAAGTTCTTAAACAAATATTAAATAATCAGGAGAAAAATGGTCATTGAAGTGAAGGCAGATGAAGTCCAGGCCATGACACTGGAAGTATGGCAATGGTGGGTCTGGACAAGCCTTGGAGTCGTCCTATCAAAAGCTGCCTTGGGGTAAAGCAAGCACACTTTTTGCTTCAATTCAGGGCTTTTTATGGGCTTCCCCCAGTTTATGCCTTCAGCTTCATTGTTCACTGCCTTGCTTCCCAACCACCTTCCAGACCCTTGAACTTAGCGTGATTCCATTAATAGGGAACAGATTTGCTGCTCCCATCTGTTCAGTACTATTCAAATACTGTTCAATATTGAACAGTAGCCTCCATGAAGGGGCTATACTTTGTTTGGCTTCAGACAGTCTTGTAAGCTGTGTTCTTCTCCAGGAATGTCCTTCACCCAACTCTTTGGGTATTCCTACTTACCTCCTATGTTTAGAGGAGATCCCCTCTAGAAACCCTTGTCTGGCCTTCCCCTTTTCACTCATGTCTGGTTGTATCCTCCCATTCAGTACTGGCCAAAACCTTTCAAAACCCTTGATATCACTTATGTAAGTGCCTGCTTATCATGTTAGACTATAAGCTTCTTTTAAAAAAATTTTATTTTATTGAAGTATAGTTGATTTATAATGCTGTGTTAATTTCTGCTCTACAGCAAAGTGATTCATTATACATACATATATATATTCTTTTTCATACTCCTTTCTATTATGGTTTATCACAGGATATTGGCTAGAGTTCCCTGTGGTATACACTAGGAGCTTGTTGTTTATCCATCTTATATATAATAGTATGCATCCGCTAATCCCAAACTCCCACTCCATTCCTCCCCCGCCCTCCCCCACACCTTGGCAACCACAAGTCTGTTCTCCATGTCTGTGAGTCTGTTTCTGTTTCATAGATAAGTTCATTTGTGTCTTATTTTAGATTCCATATATACGTGATATCACATGGTGTTTGTCTTTCTCTGTCTGACTTACTTCACTTAGTATGATGATCTCTAGGTCCATCCATGTTGCTGCAAATGGCGTTATTTCATTCTTTTTTATGGCTGAGTAGCCTATAAGCTTCTTGCGTGCAGAGACTGCATCTAGTTTATAGACTAATTGGTTTACAACTAGCCTCTAGTAAAATACACGTTTGATGGCTGAAAGGACGGATTAAATGAATGGATGAGCAGGTTGATCTCTCAAACCATCTCCAAGAGGCTAGCCTGTTTAGACAGAAATCCCCACAATGGTTCACCAAACATTTATTGAGCTTATTATGTGTTTGGTCCCGTGGACTGAGAAAAACTCCCTGACATCAAGGAGCTGTCAGTCTAATGGAAGTGAACATTTACAGTAGGCAGAGACAAATGATGTGATAAAGTTATGGAGAGGTGCTCAAGGAGTTCACAAGAGAGACACTGGTCGTATCTTGTGTGTGAGTGGGGGTTGGCAGGGAGAAGTAATGTCCAAATGGAGATCTAAAAGAGAAACAGAAACTATCCAGGAAAAGAGAGTCTGTAGGAGCATTCCAAGTTGGAGGAACAGCATGTGCAAAGGATTGGAGACAAGCAAGGGAAGATCACCTCTGGATCATAGGGTCAATGTAAAATGAGAGACAGAGAATCCAGGAGCTTGTAACTCATGTAGAAGACTTTATCTTGGGGGACAAGAGGAGCCATGAGAAGATCTTAAATTTGAAAGTGAGATGATGAAATTTACACTCCAGGGAGATCTTCAGCATTTTGAGTAGGGTTAATAAACTCTCAGCCAAGCATGAGGCTACAATGTCATTCCTTCCCACCAGTTTTATGGAAGACACCATTTTGACATCTGCTTATATCACAAATTGCAAAATATCTTTTACGTCCAGTAGGAGGAGCCAAAGGCTCTATGTTCTTCCCCAGAGCTGGGCATTCCTTGGCCCTCCGCTGTCCTGGGAGCTGTTTACTTCAGCACCTCTCATTACTGAGAAGTGGATCAACGTGGAGGAATGACAGAAAAACTCTGCCTGGAATGTGAAAGATCATGATGAAAAAGAAACTAATACTTTCCAGATGAATAGCATAATAGCATGGTATATTGATCTTTACTCTAATTTGTTTTAAACTGTAATGAATGTCTCCCCCACTCATATTAATCTTTCTTAAGCCATGTAGCCACACAACACCAGTGAGTCATACCTGACACTCATTGCTAATACACCTAAGCCTATCTCTACTCCAAAATAAATAAGAGTCGACTCAGACTGACCTTGATTTTGAGATGCTTGAATGTTTTATTTCATTTCCAATGGAAAAGTATATAGTAAAAAATCGTAAAAGCACCCAGCGATTACCCATTCTAATGAAACAATAGCCAGTGTTTCTGCCTTGAATGATTGCATTTTTTTCCCTTCTGGAATAAAAATGAAGGAGCATGGAGAAACAATTCCTGTTGGTGAATTTGCACAAAACATTGTATTTCAACAGAACTTCCCATTAACTGCCATTTATTTCTTCTCTCATTATTGATAATTTGCTTTTAAATTGAGAATACCTCTTTTACAACCCATCTCATCTCCCTGCACGGCTAGACAATTACATTTAAATTCGGTGATTTTCCCATTGTAAACAGTTTCTGGGGGAAATGATTATGATGTTACTAACCCAGATTTATGGCTTCATTGTGCTATCACTGAAGGGTAAGAGACTAGTATAAAGAAAAAAAAAGTTGCTTACATACAAATATATTATCAAAGAGAGTCCTCAGGAAGCATATAGTAAAACCAACCCAAACTGCAAAATCACCTACTGGGGCCAGTGAGAGAGACATCTTTCTGGATTTTGCAAAGTTATTTTTGTTACATGTTTTTAAAAAATTCCAGTTGTTGGCAGAAGTTCCTTTTTTAAATTTTATTCTAATGTTAGAAGAAATCCTAGCCCGACAGGATTGCGGAGGAATTCATGAGTCTGCTATTTGGTAGGCACTTAGGAAATACACATGTTACAAAGCAATACATGTAACATGGTCCCTACTTTTGGAAGTCTTACAGTTTTACTTGGAAGAGGAGACATGGTACAAATGCAACAACAACAACAAAATCAAATGATAGGGCGGGGAAAATGAACATGAGCCTCAGAGCAAGGGCTCAAGGCTAGAATCTGGACTTGTCCAATCCCATCTGGCCCTCAGAAGGCAGTGTGGTGCAGTGGTACACCCCATGAAATTAGGTATTGCCCAGGAATCCTGGTTCTTTCCAGCTGTGTGACCTTGAGCAAATTATAACTTTCTGGACCTCAGACTTTCCTGTGTAACATAATCACCTAAAATGTTTATCTAGAAAAACAAAAGATGAATTTTTTGGCTCAGTGAGTCCAGGGTGAGGCTCAAGAGAAAGAAGAAACATTGCTGCTTTAACCCCTTTAAGCCTCCGTTTTCTGATCTGCGAAGTGGACAAACCTATAGTACCTACCTCATTTAGTTGTCGGGAAGGTTCAATGTAAATACTTCAAATAGTATCCGGTGAAAGTGAGTGCTAATTGAGTGGCAGGATTTGTTGAGGAGTCACAGGGCTTCTGACTCTAAGGCAACTGCTGAGAGAGTAGTCTCTGGACCCCTCTAGAGTCAGCACCCTGTGCAGGATTAGGCAGCCATGTAAGAGGCCAGGGAGGGGTGGCCCAGGCCCGCGCGCAACCGCTCCCTGCCTGGTGCCCCTCGGGCCTGGATAACTTTTTGCATCTCGGATAGGGCTCCATCTTTGCCTGGCCTCAAGATTTCCCAGAGCAGGGGATTTGTCCAGTCTCCTTGAGGGGAGGGGGTGGAGGGGGGCGCTGGTGCTCAGCGAGTGAGTCCGCTTTCGGACAAGGACTTGGGAATGCCAAAGACCTGGGTTCAACAGCCACACTCCCAACTCTCACCCCTTCGCCCCAGGAGACCGAGGCACTGGGTCGCGCGTCAGCCACCTCCAGTTGGAACCGGGGCTGCGCGCTTGACCGCGGTGGCGGTGCTGGCGAAGGGAAGGGGGAGGGGCGCTCCCTAGAGCTCGGGATTATTTTTGGCTCCGCAGCCCCGGCTGCTCGCCGCCTGTGGCGCGCGCTCACACACATTCTCACACACAGACACGCGCGCACACACATATGCACACATTTTCTCGTTCGCTCTCTCGTCCTCCTTTGTTTATTTTCTAATCCATATTTTTATTTGAAGATCTCCTCTTCACTCTCTCCCGCCCGCCTGCCGGCACTCTCGCGGGCCAACCGGGTGCACACCGCTCCCCTCCGTCACCCCAGCCCTCCTCCCTTCTCCCCGAGCGCGGGGTTTGAAGGTCACCTCCTTTCCAGTCCCCGTGCCAGCCGCGCCGCCACCGCCGCCTCCAGCCGGAGCCGGTGGCACAGGCTGCGCTGCCGTGAAGTGGTTCTCGCAGCCGCGGCGGCGGCAGCCCAGGGTCCGCGCCGGTTGGGGAAGCCCGAACTCGCAGAGGGGAATCCCTCTCGCTTCACCCCAGCCCCTGGCTGCGCCCGCGGTGGGGCGGGGACGCTCTGCTAGCCCGCGAACGGCAGAGGCGGCGGCCGCGACCAGACCCACGCGTGCGCCTCCCCGGCAGGAGGAGGAAGGAGCGAACAGGGCACCCCGCATCTGGAGGGGACAGCGGCGCGCCCCGCCCGTGCGTCCGGAGCGAGAGAACTCCGAGCCTGCCACCAGGCAGAGCGCGGAGAAGCGGACTGTGCACCCCGGGACCGAGGAACCTTGCGCTCCAGACCCCCGGGCAGTGGCCGTCCGGGCCCAGCGGTGCTTACTCGCACCGCGCGCAGCTGCGCCCAGCCTGCCGCCCAGGCAGGGGCGCCAGGGCGGGGCTGACCTGCCAGCAAAGTTGCGGGCAGCCTGGGAGAAGCCAGCACCCCCTTTCGCCATCTCCAGCTCATGGTGAGTGTGGCTGAGGGTGCAGAGAGCGCAGGGAAATTGGAGGGTCTGGGGCCGAGCGGAAGGCGACCGGAGCCGGGTGCGGCGGGAGTTCTAGGTAAGTCCAGGCGGAGTCACCGCCTCTTTGCCCCCCTGACCTGGCCAAAGGGTCCCACTGAGGGAAGAGCTGGCTTCTCGAGGGCTGGCTTCCTCTCAGAGCCAGGCCGGGCGCGCTGTACTGGGAACTTTTTCAGTGTGGTGGAGAGATCTCTCTGCACGTCCTCCCTGGGGGCTGAGATCAGGAGCCCCTACCCCCTCATCCTTCTAGAAGCAAGCCCTGTCTCGGCCCAAAGCGCGCCTCTGGAGCGCCCAGGCTGCCTTGTCCGTCCTCTTGGGAGCGAGTCCCAGGTGCAGGGAACAGCGGGCGTCTGCCTGCGCACTTTGGTTAGGGTTCCTGGCAGACTGGAAGCGTGCACTCGGTGCGCCCCGGGGCGCTGCCTCTCCACCGCCCTTAACGAGGTCTGAGGGAGAAGGCACTTCGTGGCCTGGGAGGGCGTTTAGAAGCATCGAATCCTTTGTGGAAGGCGGGGAAGAGGAGGGTCGCTGAGCTGGAGGGAGAGGGTCTGTGTTTATGGACACCGGAGGGACGCCCAAGATGCCACTGCATTTGACCCTGTGGGGAGGGGAAGGGGGCCAGCCTGGGAACTCAGGACTTGGAAACTCCGGCTGCGCCCCTTGGTTCCTTTGGTGCCTTAGGGCACCTTCACCCTGGAGAGGAAACCCAGGTAGCAGTTCTCGGCGCAGGCCAGGGGTCGCCTCTTGTCAGCTTCAGTTTCCCGACTCTCCAGGGTTAGAGGCAAGGGAGGGGTTAGCGAGTCGCTGCTTCCATATCGCCGCGGCACCATCAGGTTGGGATGCTCCTGGAGTCTTTAAGGTGTCAGCTCCGAGGGACTAGGCCAGCCCGGAAGCTGCCCGCGCGGAAAGGGCGGGGAAGACCCCGACCCGCATGGTCCAGGAGCCGCCGACTCTATTCCCTGCTGCCAGGGAATGGGGGGCTCATGGCTGCTGCCCGGACAAGCAAGGGCCGGGCTGCACCTGCCTGGCTCGGAGCGTGTGGGGCGGGGCTGCTCAAGTGCTTGGAAATTCGAGTCTGGCAGTCCAGGGAATTGGTACCCACCACGGGTCTTTTCAGTTGAACTTGGAAAGAAGTGCGGACGGTGTCATGGAATAGCTTTGCTTGAGCTACAATATGATGCGCCACAACTGGAGTTTTCTTTTATAATAATTATGATTGTATATTTTTATTATTTTTTAAAATATGGTGCGCCAAGAGGCCTGGCCTTTTCAGCACAAGTTTAGGACACACCCCAGCCAGTGATCTCTCCCTGCCCCTGTCCTAGTTCATCTACCCTCCATTTCCCATTTATCTTTGTTACAAAGGAAAAAATAAAAGATATGAGAGGGCCTGGATCCTTTCAATTCTTAAGTGACCACAGAGGGCCTGGCTGGAGCCATGGGCAGATTTATTTTTGGCCAAGGTCTTTTTTCTTCAGAGGCAAGGACCTGGGCCCATGAAGGGCAAAAGTGGCTCTGGCAGGGGTTCTAGGGCAAACAACGGGGCTGACTCCAGACCTTCATGCTTTCTGAGCTCATCTGGGAAGCACTGGGATCTGGGGGAATCCACTGGGTTTCCCCTAAGTTAACTCGTGGCTGAGTTGGATTAGGAAGAAACTGGTATCATCCTTTACAGTTTCTGAGGGTACCGTTAGCGTCCAGAGATAAGGCTGAGAAGAGTACCGGGCCCTTGGCTGTGCCACCTGCTAGCTGTGTGACCTTGGGCAAATGACTTCACCTCTCTGTGTCTCCGTTTATTCACCTGCCAGATGAAAGTTTTAGTGGTAGTATTGACCACAGCGGGTTTGGGGGAGAATTAAATAAAGCAATAAGCACAGAACAGGGTCTGACACATGGCAAATGTCTGGATGATGTTAGTTTTCTTTCTTTTTTTTTTTATCAAATAGATTACTCTCTATTTTGAGTCTTATGACACCTGGTGGGATAGGAAAGGCAGGCAGCTTCCCTTACACGTATGCCCTTTCTTTTAAACGACAGATCACAAATAGGGAGGTTAATCATAAAGGGAGATTTCTCAACAGAAACCTCATTCCTTCCAAGCCTGACCTCTCCTCGTGTTCTAAGGAGGATCAGCGACACGCCGCCCACTGGCTGAGAGGTGGGTTGGTGGCATTTGACAACATCTCAACAGGCACCTATACCCTGAAATTAAGTTTTTACTTAATTATTTAAGTTTTTACAGCAGTTGTGTATTTTATTCTTCAATCAACAGAAGGCCTGCTTCTCCTTGGCCTCCTGGAATGAAAGTATCATCTTAGTAAATCTTACTTTCCTAAGAACACACCGTCTTTATTGTCACCCCGTGGTCCCAGGGTTTTCCACTTAGAAACGAGCCAAAACATGGATCTGAGCAGATTTCTCCTCCTGGAATTGACCCACTCTGCCCTATTTTCTCTTCATGATAATTGATGCTATTTTTTTCCTACTTCTCTAATGTCTGAGCACAGGCCTCTGTGACATCTTCACGTCTCTGATGACTTTTTTTTTTTTTAAAAACAAATTTAGCCTTTTCAGTTCAAGCCATACCAAATCATTATATTTTATAAAATTCCTTTCAGATAAGTCTTTTTTTTTTTTTTTCATTTAGAAAATTGGGTGTGTCCTGTATAAACATGTCTGACATTTCACCTTTGCAAAAATCAGGCCATTTTATTTGCATCTTTTAAGCTGATGTGTGGAGTAATGAACACATTCCAAGAGGGAAATCGTATCTGACACAGAAAATACTTTGGGGACGCAGTGATTTCCCAGTGGTGTGTGTGAAGACTATTGAAATCCAAGTGCATTTGCTCTGAAGGACACAGGGCAGCTCATCTCGCTTTTCCCACCCAGCATGGGAGCCACGTAGTAAGCATGCTCCACAAAGTAATATCGAATGACTTTCCTAAAATCATCACTTGTCACGTTTCCTTTCCCCTATATTGCCCGAGACAAAACGTTGTTGTGCCAAAGAGCTCAAACTTGGAGGTGATATTTTTATTTTTTTATTTTTAAAATATTCATTTATTTATTTGGTTGCACCGGGTCTCATTTGCAGTAGGTGGGCTCTTTAGTCGCGGCTCCAGGGCTCCTTAGTTGCGGCAGGCATGCTTCTTAGTTGTGGCACGTGAACTCTTAGTTGCGGCACGCATGTGGAATCTAGTTCCCTGACCAGGGATCAAACCCGGGCCCCCTGCATTGAGAGTGCTGAGTCTTATCCACTGAGCCACCAGGGGAAGTCCTGATGATATTTTTAAGACGTTCTGAGGCTCTCCCTGATGCCTGCCTCCCATTATTTAAAGCACTGCCTCGAGGCACCAGTCTTAAAATATTAAAACTTTAATTAAAGAATAAATGGTGAGGGAGCTTCAAAATGAGGGGCACCAGGCACCTTCAGATGACTTCAACAGAGATCATGGTTAGACTAGGTTGTCGGGTCTGGGGGCTCTTATGAAAATGACCCGTGGAGTTATAAGGAGAGACAACCATCCTCATGTTTTATATCTGTAGTTACTCTGAGCACCATCATTACTGTTGGCCTGTCATTGGTCATCAGACACAACAGATGTGGGTGGCGCTTGCCTGCTGCTGTGGGTGGGTGTGTCTGTACTGGAGGAAGGAGTAACTAACGTAGTAAATGTTTATCCACAACATACCACACGTTAGCTGTTCTGCTCGGGGAACAAGGCCAATGAGAACCTTGCCCCCTTGGAGCTTCTTTAGTTGTGGGGAGAGCCAGACAATAAGCAAGGGATGGAAAATTCATTTTTATGAGGATAATGACAAGGGTTACAAAAATTATGATGTGACAATATGATAGTGACTTGGAAGGACTTTCCAAGGAGGAGAGATTTGAGCTGAGATCTAATTGAAAGGAGTAGTTGATGTGTATCAAGCGATACATGCATCCTGTGAGCATTTATTGAGCACCTAGTACGTGCCAAGCACTGTTCAAAGCACTTGCAATACACAGTGATCAGATGGCGCATTCCTTCTAGAGTGTTCTTCTACACGAAGAGCATTTTAGAAAGAGGGAACAGCAAGTGCAAAGGCCCCGAGGCTGAAACAGGGATACCATTATATGGATGAAGTCGGGTCATAGAGGCTCCTGAGAGCTGATAAGGAGTCTGGCTCTTATTATTCCAATGAAGCCATTGGAAGGTTTAATGCAGAGACGTGCCATGTTATATTTATGGCTTACATGTTGTGGGAAACACCGTCAGATGTTTCTGAGAAGGGTAAATAAAGAAGCGTGTCTTCCTGGCCAGCCAGCTTTTGTCTCGAAGTTCCAGTTCATCTCCATAACCAAATTTGGTCTGTGGACTTCCCGGCACTGGAAGGGTAAGCCCTACAGCGTCTAAGAAAATGAACTTTTTTTCCCCCTCCTTTGGGGACTTAGAACAAAGTCTTAAATTCAAGATGGGGGATTAGTTTATAGGGAAAAGGAACCCCAGGTTTCTCAGTAATACTCATTGTGTGTGGCTGGAACAGTAGCAGGTGTCTGTATACATTGTCTTACTTAGTTCTTTCCCTAGATATCCCTTCAAAGAAGCAGCACCTCCTCCCCTGCCCCAGCACCCACACACACTCTTCCCAGTGGCTTGGCTACCTCACCATCTATCTGCAAAATGGGGACGTGAAAAGACTCCACCTTGGAGTGCATGAGAATGATCCAGTGGAATCACTCATTACTCCCATATCCAGCATCTACTCTGTGCCAAGCACCCTGCTAGATGCCAGGGATACCATGATGTCCAAACCAGGTGCATATACGGTTTGGACACAGACCCCTGTTTTTGATCATCTATTCCAGAAGGTTCCTTTTGAGAGTGTGGCCATGTTTTTCTCCCATGAGTGCGTGTGATAATGGATATTGACAGGAAGAAGTGAGCTGCCTCCTGAGAGCCCTGAGTGCTCCTGGCATTGTCCGTCTTTGGAGGCTCTCCTGGCCTTGGTAGGTGGTAATAAGTTGTGATGGAGCATTTGGACATCTGGGCAGTTCAA